AATTCCCCCAAAATGCCTTTCGTAGTTTCGGAATGTGTGCGTACATACGTGAATGTGTACTGTTATCTTCCACAGGGTTTTACTACGTTGCAATCTTCCTGCTTCTGCCTCCCCAGTGACTGGAACGACAAGCATGTGCCACTGTGCCAGGCTTTCTAGGATGGCCTGGGAATGGAATCTGGGCCTGCCATGTGGCCTTGGCTTGCGGAGCAGCAGGACCAGCTCCTGCCACTGCACCTGGGCCACTCATTAAAAAAAAAAAAAAAAAAATCAGAATCCAGTCTGATTGGGATGATGCTATGAGACCTTGTGAAAACGCTCATCCTCAAATGTTGCACCTATGGACCGTAATTCCTTCTTGAATAAGTTAGTGCATCTTCTGATTTCATTAACGTTCCTACACTTGGTAGCTGGCATTCATTCTTCCAGCTCTCCTGCCCACAACCCTTCTCTCGCTCTGTGAGTATTGGAGGCATGAACTGCTACATTCAATGTGTTATAATGTATTTTTGAAGCTTAAATCACCCCGAATTTGGCTAATGGGAGCCCCTTCAAGGTAGTTCCTGGTTTCTTTCCATTGTTTCTGGCATAAAATATCTTTGGCCTCACCTTGTCAAGTGTCTGGCCCTACAGCGAGTCAGTCACTTCTTCAAGGACTTGCTAGTAACAGGAATAGGTCACGCATCCACACGGTTCAGGTTTCCAAATATCCAAAAGGCATGGTCTCCAGCCCCCCCCCCCTTCCTAGGTAGCCCATGCTATCCCTTTTTTGTTAGCCTTCCAGTTAGCTTACATAACAGAGCAAACACACGATATTCGTACCTCCCCCAGTTTTTAATTCAAATGATAGCGTATTACACTCCCTGAGTCTGTCTGCTGCACTTACAGCTCTTGTCCATCATTCCGGTCCTGAAAGATACTTGTAACTGTACCCCAGAGAGATTAGGAAACTTCAGGTCAAGTCCTAGATGGTTCAGGTGAGAAAAACTTCCTAACAGTGACTTGACCAAAGCGGCATTACCATTCACACGCTGTTCTTAGACCTGGACAGTTCCTCCCTCTCACCCTGGGTTCGCTGATTCCCACTTTGAAACATCAGTGCCTTGGGGAAGGTTTTTCCCTGCCAAAGGCCCCCAGCTAGGTGATGTCCCCTTGTGACAAGGTTTCAGGTCATTTCGTACGTCGTCTTTCTAGCACATACAGGTCGCTGTATTACGTTTGTTTCCTGCCTTGGTGAGGGCGGGGACTCCGTCTGTCTTGCTCAGGGCTGGCATAGCCGCTCAACATACATGTGCAAAGTGAAGCTCGAACCCAGGGCCGGCCAGCTCCCAGCGCACGCCTCCCCCTGCTGCGGTCCCGCTGGAGTTGGAGAAACTGCTACAAGATGTGAATTAAAAAACCTCAATTGAAAAAGCTGCGAAGTCTTTCCATTTCCACGATTAACGGAGAACCTTAGCCGAAACAGCTCACCGCGAGGTGTGACGACCGCAGGAGGGCGTCAATCAACAAAATGCCCCCTTGCCCCGGAGGTGAGCGCAGCCACACTGAGCCGAGGCCACACGGGCCAGCGCCACAGCTTCAATAGAAAACACGTGCAAAACCAGGGAGCCGGCTGCGTGCAGCTGTGATCCCCCAGACCCCAGGGCCGGTGGAGGGGCGACGTGGAGTTGCCCCCACTGGACCAAAGAAATCTGCGTAGCCTCTCGGTGCCCCAAGGCTCGGCCCGCCCTTGATTCCTGCGCGTTAAGGTTCCTGCCAGCATCCCCAAGGAAGCGGTCGAGTCCGCAGTCCCCAAATGAATCGGGCTGGAGCAGTCACAAGTCCGGAGTACCCGAAGTCTCGTCGTCCGTATCCTGCTGGGCGCCGCTAAGGGCCACGGATGGTCCTCTGGAGCAGCTCTAGGAGCTCGGGTCACCGTCCCACTGTGTGCTGGGAAGCGCCCGCACGAGCAGCTGCGGTCCACGGTTGCTGGGGGAGGGCACCGGCCAGGGAGTGCTGTCAGAGGCCTGCGAAGCGCGCCTGCCCGCGGCCGGAGTCCCGCTGCTCCCCGCCCGGCCTTGACAGTGTCCTCGAGCTTCTGCAGAGCTGCCACCCGGCCGGGGCGAGGTCCTGAGTCCGCGCTCCAGACAGCTGCTTTCCTCGCGCCTCCCCCGACGGACGCCGGGCTTGCTTCGAGGGCGCCGTGGTCGGGGGGCCTGGAACTCCGAGAGGCGACGGCGGCGGCTGTGGCGGGGCTCCGGGGCGCTGGGGGAGTCCCTGGAG